CCCTCGCCCCGTCCCGGCCCCTGCGCGGGACAGACAGCAGCGACGGACGCACCTCCGTGTCCCCGGCGAGACGGCAAGTGGAGCCCCACCAGCACCGCGCCCCCGCTCGCCGGGTGGCTCCCCCCCAAACCACCGTGCAGCCAGCGCGCAGTCCTCGGGGTACTTGCCTTCCAGCCTGCCCGGGTGGGAGGGAGGAGACCACCACCCCCCTGCTCCTGGCTGTCTTGGGGTTGAACGCAATCACGCGGAACGCGGGGTTTCCACAGGACTCGCTCTCTTTGGCATGGGGGTGGCTTAAAACAACAAACAGAAGCCCCTGATAGACAGAGGAAAAATACATCACTAAAAACAGCAGCAAGAGAGGAAAAAACCCAAAGAATTTTCCAAAAACTAATTGCTTCTCTTCATAACCAAAGCCCCATGGACAGTGATGCATTATTTTTCCTGAATAAAATAGCACTGGTTTACTTTTCCTGTCCAATGAGATAAGAACCAGAGCAGCTGCTGCCCGCTAAGGGCTGACGCAGTGCAGAGAACCCAGCTCGGTGACCCAGCGGGTTTGCCCACTTACCTTCCTGTCTGCCAAACCTGCCATAGGATGAGGTGACATTTAAAGTAAAATTTCTGGGCCTCATTTGGATCCCTGGGAGCTTAAAATTCAACAAGAATCCCACGCAAACCAGCACAGCTGAGAACAGCGGCTCTCGGCGCAGCCACAGGCCGGCATGGAGCTCCCTGGGACAGATATTCCGAGGAAGTCCCCACAGAGGGTGACTCAAGCCACCTCTATTGGACAAGACGTTCTTGTCCCAAAAGGTTCAATGCTCACTGCAAACAATCAAATCCTCCATAAACCACAAAAATCCATCGGGAACCACAGCACAGGTGGAAGCAGGGGGGAAAGACTCATTAGTAGAATCTTGGGTTTAAACAGTTGATATCCCCGGGGTACGTGCACGTAACAAGCCCTTCCCACCGGTCTTCCGACAGCGGCAGCGTGCCATCGCCACGCCGGCAGCCACCCACCTGTGAAGCGGTGGAGTCTCGGCAAGCACCAGCCCTGGGGCAACAGAACTTCTCCTTCCCGCGGGCGAGAAGCTGCCGCTTCGGAACACGCCTGGGCGCATCGCGCTCCTTTTGTTACTGCGCTGCAGGAAGCCACGAATCCAAGGCAGCCCGTGGGGTTTAGTTCTCCCAGCTTAACCCATCTGCCTTTGAACTATCTCCAGGGTATCGAAACAGAGCTCAACCCGCTCTAGAAACCCTCACCCTCAGTCCCCGCCAGCGTTGGCCCGTGCGGTTCCTGTACAAACTGCGCGTCCTGTTCCGTACGTACCGAGTCGGAATACGCTCGGTGGCAGATGGAAGCTGGGTAGGAATAACCGACGTGCATCTTCTTCAGGAGCTGGCCTGTTGTCAGATTCCTGCAGTTGGGGAAAACACAAATTCTGAGTGCTTTTCCATCCTCTGCCGGTCGTTTTCTGATCACAGTTGCGCCCCTGTGCGAGAGGGACACGGTTCTGGTTCCGCCCGAAGCAAAGTCAGACACGAGCCCGCAGGAAGAGGCAGAAGGAACGTGCCGCCGGCAGAACCGCAGCAGCTCAGTTCATTCCCCATCCCCGGCTGCGCGCAGACCCCCGGCCCTTCGGCAACCGCCACCTCCCAGGCACACCGGCGGCTTTTTTTTACACCGGCCGGCCCCATCGTCCGAGCGCAGAGGAAACACTGACCAAACGGCAACGCTGTTCACCGCCGTGGTGCCGACCAAGGCGTCCCTCATTCCTTCTACTTCGGCAAAAGCTGTCACGGTTTCCTCAGGGGGCATCAACGTCTGTCCGTCCTTGGCCCTGAGCGGCAGGGAAGGGCAGTCAGAGCAACGTGTTCCGCGCTCGGCCCAGCTCCAGAAAGAACAGGAACCCGACACTTTTCTACACCCGAGACGATTCGTCACTTTTCCTCCACCTGCCACGCTGAACCACCCCGCACCCAGCAGACTCACCGGCCTGTCTCCGACAGCGACACCATCTCCACGTGCTGCTCCTGCACGGTCCTGCTGCTGCTGACCAGCCTCCTGTCCTTCAGCCCAAGAACAGCTTTTATATTTCCAGTTTTTACCACTGATTGCTTGAATGAGTCATTCTCAGAGGAATAAAGCAAGAGCCTAAATTAAGAGAAAAGCACGCCTGACGACTGAAGGAAGCAGAACTCAAACATGCCATAGCGTACAAAAATAAGCCGGTGTTTAAAAGTCTGCCACCTCTAGGGGTGAATAAGCAAGTCTTTACAGCTGATTTTTAGCAATCCCTTCCATATTTTCCAACAGTTAAAGCAACTGAGAAAATGACACATTAATAAGAAATCATTTCAACCACTACACAAGAGGGAAGCTGCAGCAATCCAGGGTGCAAAGCGCTAGTAAGAAATAAACACACCACCTTATTTCTCCAATCTCCAAGTCTCCCAGCGCTATACACACGAGATTACAGGTGTCCGGCAGAGGAACGATCTGTATTACAGGAACCTAGGACAGCACGAGAATTCAGTGTCACCCACAACGTCCCTTTGACTTTATTTCCATTTTCTAAAGCGTTTCAAGTAAAATGATATGGAGCAGGACTAATTTTCAGATCCCTCTGAAGAAGCACACTTAGATTAACAGTCCCTGTCGATATACGAGACAAAAAGTGTCTCCAGGGAGCGTAAACGTAAGCCAGTGGCTGCAGCCCCCGTTGGGTACGTGGAGGGTCAGACGCCAGCGGGTAACACACCCCCACACGAGCTGCTGGCCTCCTCTGGCCTCCTCGTCAGCAGTGCAAATCGTTCTCTGTCACCTGATGGCATGAAGAATTTTTGCCACCCAAAGGACCTACCTTGCACCCAAGGCTGGAAGCTCCTTGTGTCTTGGGAACTAACACAAGAGGGTTGCCCTGAATTCCAGAAATCAGGACTGTGTTCGTACCTCTCCGAGCTGCCAAGTATGGACCTTGCCCCAGCGGTCGGGTGCCAGAGGCTCCCACAGGGAGACCGAGCTCTCGCAGGCCGTCACCACGCGCAGCTCCCTGCGGCCAGCGGCTCCCCACCACACGGTGCTCACGTCCACGGCGCAGGAGCTTGAAGGATCCTGCCCGAAACAAAGCAGCACTTTTGGTCTTCTTCCGACAGCCACGGTTACCTCACCTGGAGGTTCAGCCCAAGAGGGTCTGGTATTCGGTGCGATGAGAATTGGAGGCTAAAACTTAACGTTTAGGGTGTTGATTTCGGGTGAAGTGCCAGCAGGGCACCAAGGAAAACAAACCTGGTGGGCTTCACCCTCAGAGTGAGGGTGGCTCCTCCACAAAAATCACTTGTTGTTTGAAACAAGAGGGACCCGGCAGAGCCCAGAGCTGGGACAGGGCCGGGGGCCCCATGGCACAGCCCCACCAAAGCCCGTGGGCCACCTGCCTGCGGCCGGGCGCTCGCTGCCCCGGCTGCACAAACGGAACAAAGCAGGGGCCTTCTCCCTCCTAAGGGAGTTTCCAGCTTCAGCCCTCTTGTGGGCTGGTTATACCGACCCCCCAGGCTGGCTTCTGGAGCAGAGCTTTGCACTTGGGTTTGGCAAAGCTGGAGGGGACCCAGCCCCGAGCGCGTTCCACGGGCTCTGCCACAGATGGCACCTCCTCGCCTGCCCACGCCTCGCTCCGAGACAGGGGACAGTGCAAGGACAAGGTCATGGCACGTGCGATCACGGCTCCGCTCCAGGAGGGTGCGAAGGGCAACACGTGTCCCTGCAGTGCTGCCGTGCCCCAGGAAATCTGCTCCTTACGGGGTTAGTCAGGGCCTGAAACGGCGACAGGAGGCCTCAGGAGCCCCAGGGCAGGCAACAGGGCTACGAGGGCTGAGATCACTTTACCCGGGGCTGAAGACAAACGCAGCAGTGCTGTGTGTTTCGACATCTGCAGGTGTTTAGACATTCATGATTCAGAAACACGCTGCGATCCTGCATCAGTCAGGAGGAGGCACGCAGCAGTCTGACCCTTCAGCGTGCTTTACACGAGTGAAGACAGAACGGATCGAACCGGGCAGCAATCTGTTTTGTTCAGCTAGCCCTTCTGCACTTTGCACTGCATTTTTGTTAAACTTGGTATTGAAGAGCTGCTACTGCTCAGGAAACAATTACCCAATGTCGTCCCACCTTTAGCTTCGACACAAGCTCCAAGTTCTCTTCTCTCAGGCCATCGAGAAGCTCCGGAGTCAACTGTTCCGCTACATCTTTTTTCTGCACAAACAAGTAAAGAAAGAGGATAATTCGACTTTGAAATTACATTCAGCACCTGCAAGAAGAAAGCAGGAGCATGAATTCGCTCTGCGTGCCGTTGCTGGAGAGCTGTGGTAGGAGCACGTCTTTTGCACTTGCATGTCTTTGCAAAACAAGATCTCCCAGCCAGGTTATCTCCTGGTTTCACCTGAAAATTGTCTTTTACCACCACTTGGCATCTCTCAGCCTTCAGAGACAAGTTCTCTCAGTACCCATCCCACATGCAAGTTATTTAATCTCCTTTATCCTAGCTGAAAATTTTCCTTAGGGTAAGACCAACACGACGTGGGTACCAGAAACTTTTTGGTCTACCCATTTCAAACACGCACCCTGCGGTGACACCTCTGGCTCCATCAAGCAGAGTTTTAAAGAACTTGCTCTGGAGGTCAAAAGACCTGAGGCAACAGACAAGAACCAAACATTTCCTCAGTCAGCTAAAAGACAGCATGCAGGGCTGGCACGCCACGAGGTCTTCCCCCTGCAGTCGGGTGAGACTCTGGAAGAGGGGATTCGCCCACAAACCCACCGCTTAGTACCCCGGCAAAGAGCCCAGCCCGTCACCTGTTCAGGAGCAGCTCTGCAGGATCTCTGCTGGTTGCTCTCTGACTGCTGACGCTTCTCCAAGGTCGCAGCCTCCTCAGATTTGCTGTCGGGATCCCCTTCAGCTTCTGAAGGAAACGTCACACCTCGTTCCTCCTCTTTTCTAGCAGCTCCCGCGCCGCAGCTGCCCAAGCGCAGGGGGTCGGCAGAGCCTTCGCGTCCCCCCTCAGCCCCGACCTGGGCAGAGGCTCCTCTGGAGGAAGGGGGGCTTGCTCGCACGGGGTGTGCAGAAGGCGAATTGGGGAAGCCCTCACTGCGTCCTGCTGGCAAAACGGCTGGGGTTGCCCCCACGACAGGGAACGAGCAAATCTCAGACTCGGGCTGAGTGGCAGCCCCAGCCAAGACAGTCCCCATGGGAGTAAACAGCAATTCATGGGTGGAAAGGTCCTTCCTGGAAGCTGGGCTTTCTACGTGAGGTGACTTGGGCGATCCGTTTTTGACAGGTGAAATCAAATTACTTGTGAGACTTCTTTCTTCTGGGTTCATCTGTGCGTCTCGCGCGCCCTCTGAAGCCACGCCATCTCCTAACACACTAGGAGCAAAAATCTCCAAGTCATTCACGGGGGAAGATCCTAATTTCTCGAGTTTCAGCAGTCCAAATTCCTCATCTGGCAGGTGAAAGTCTCGGACACCCAGCGTGGAGGCCAGCCCCTGGAGACTGCGGAAGGAGGAGAGCGAGCCGCAAGTATCGGGGTCCACAGGAGCGAGGCCGAGAGGAGCAGGACGCTCGGAGCCCATCGGACAGCTGCGTCCTCTGTCGCGCTCATCTAGACAACGACAAACGCCAGAACACAAGAGAGGACATCACGTCACAGAACCACCAGCAACCAGCCTGCTCGGAATCTCTCCCCCAGAGCGCCGCTCGGACCCCTCCCCGCCCCCAAAGCCGTGGCCATCCTAACGCAGGAAGCGGCACTTTTCTGAAAGACGTTACACGCCGCGACTGCATCGACCTGCGGCCACAGCATCCTTGCCCTGGGCTGCCAGGACTGACCGAGGGCTTGGCCAGCCTGCTGGCTTTGGTTTTCTCCCAACACTTTCCACAATATTGACAGACCCTCAGACTGTAATGCTGCTCCTTGTGTTTCACTAAAAAAATACCATCACTCATCAACAGGCAGACTTAGCTGGGGAACAGATTTACACCCATTTGCTGGAAAATCAGGTCCGGTGTGCGCAACATTTGCTCCAACAGCAGAGGCAGCTGAAGAAGTTCTCAGCCCCGCTCCTCACCCGCGCCCCGCTGGTCTCTCCCCACCACTGTGCTGAAGCAGGAATTGTCCAAGGAACATGGGCACCACAATGATCTATGTTTTTAAAAAAACCCTCTCCTGTTTAAAAAACCCCCAATAGTTAACCCCTATCAGGTTTTCTGGAATAAAAAAAGGTGGCAGGGCATGAACAGCAGCGCACGCCCTCACCGGGACGTTCCCCGCCTCGCCCCCAGGCTGCCGTTTCAGGGAGCGCCTGCATTTGCTGCGGTACCTTTTGGGACCCGGCCGGCCCTCTGTCGCACAGAAGAACGCGGGGAGCGGCGCGGAGGGACGTCGATGGCCGGGAGCTGCTCAGCCCTGCCGGCTCCTCGCACGTGCCGAGTCTGAGCGCGCTCCGCCGGGCCTTCACCGGCCTGGCACACAGGTAGGTGGGCTTCCAGACATCCCATATGGCCGGCAAGAGTTTCCCTCCCCGGGTTCAGAGAATCGCTGTTCTGAGGCGGGTTTTGAACCTGCCCTAACAGAGGCTCACAGCATGTGCCGGGAGGAGGATCAGCACCCGCTGGCTCTGTCTCTCCAGACCCAAGCGCTGCAGCAGCAGCAGCCAACCTTCTCTCACCTGAAGGTGATTTTTCAAGAGCAGCCTCACAGTTTTCCTTTTCACTCCGACACTCACTTGGCAGCAGACTCCTGCTTTCCCTCGGGGTTATCAGATCCAGGCTCTCGAGCAGTTCCTGGGACACTTGATGCACGGGGGGTCTGCAGGTCGGCTTTCTTCTCCCCTTTTGTTTCCTCTGTGATCGCCTCTGATCCGCCTTTGTGCCAGGGATACTGCTTTGAGAAATCGACCCGGGTGAAGTGCTGCTGCTGCTGGACGCAGGAAGAGATTTCTGAGGACTGCCTGAATTTGCTGGATCGTTTTCTGCACCCAGAAAAGGGAAGGGCACGTCCCCTGACTCCAAATCATTTTCAGCTCTTTCTTGGGAGGGCCGATCTGAATTTGCAGCTTTCTGCTTGCGCCTGCTTCGCTGCCCTCTCTTGCTTCTGCCCAGCTGGCTGAGAATGACAGCGTCAAGGTCGACTTTCCTCTGGCAATTCGCCATACGGCGAGTTGTCCTGACATAGTACTCAACCGGAAAGAGAAGCCCCTCAACCACCGTGCAAGAGTTCAGGGCGCTTTCAGGAGCTGCCGCCTCTTCTGGATGAGAAAGTCCTGGCTGAACGTCGAGCTGTTGGTTCTCCAACCGTTGTTCAGCATTGCCCAGAGCAAGATCTGCAGGAAAGGGGTTTAAGCTGGTAGAGTCACTTTGATTTCCTGCGTGGCTTTTGCTCTCACTAGTTACAGCGCTGTTCCCGTCTGCAGGCAGTACTTCACTTTCTGAGGCCAAACCCAGAAGCCCAGGTGATTCCCCCCGAGCCTCACACAAGCTCTCACCGTCCCTCGGTTTCTTTACACCGGAGGGTTCTTCTCCTCCATCACCGCTGGCGCCAGGCACAGCAGAGTCGCCGTTCTCTGCACGCGGCCGTGCAGGCTCACGGTCACCAGCTGCGGCCACAGCACGCGGGGACCCCGGCTGCCCACCATGGCTGCTGTCCCCCCGCGCCCACGGGAGCAGCGCGGGCGCTCCCGGAGGGGCGCTGGCTCCGGGCGTGTCTCGGACGACTCCTAACGCTGCGTCGGGAGGAGCGGAACTGTTTCCTTGTCTCCGCACAAGCGCTGGGCTGGACACTCCTTGGGCACTTTCCTCAGGGTTGGAGGGGCTGCTTCGCCTGAAGACCGGCGACTGAAGTTCCTCTGCGCTGGCGAGTTGACTTTTCCCCGTTTCATCGGCGTTGACTAGATGCACATCACTCACCGATTCCCCTTCCTCCAATACCAGAGCCTTTGTCCGCCTCCTCAGCTTCATCAAGCTTCTGGAGGCTCGGGGTTTTCTCTCCTCAGGGGCAGGTCCAACCCAGCACAGGTTTTCCTGGCTAGCCGGTACACTTTCTGCCCGTGAGCTGTCCGGCAGGCTGCCTTCGTTACCGGAGAATTCGGGAACATGTTTAAACGCAAGGGATGTTTTCTTCTCTGTGTCAAGATCAGAGCAGGTTTTAGTCTGTAACTGAAAGGTTTCATGTTTGTCAGCACCAGGAGATATGTCATCTCTGGAACCTGTGGGGAAAATGCCACACGTGTAAAGCACCCCCAGCAAAGTCCCGTCCGAGAAGAACATCACGCAGCAAGACTAGGCGACTTCGTTAGGAGCGAAAGCGCCTGGGATCCTACAGCGGGCACCAGGGAGCGCCGCAGGCTGGTGCGGAGGAGAGGAGAGGTTATGGCGGGTGACGGCTCGGCAGCGCTGCCGGGGCC